TGCTACCCATCAATTCTTACTAATTAAATTGAAGTTTTCATGCTCCTAAGATAAACAAAATACCTTATCCTGCCAAAATATTTAGTCCATTAGAATTTCCCACCATTTGCTCAATCTTAAGATGAGTGGTGGTGTCCTCGTGGGTGGTTCTGTTTTGAAGGCTTTCTAAAATGTGTTTAAGTTCTGCCAAAAATTGAGTATATGTATAAAAGATTATAGTTTTGGCCTGAAAAAGGTTTTTTAGGAAAACTCACCCACAGAGTTTCTTGGGGCTTTTTTTTCCCACACAAGGGAAATTTCAGATCAATGTTACTCTAGTAATATCCTAGTAACAGCCTGTATTGGTCCTGGGATAAAGTAAGACTATTTAGAAAAATTGGTAGAGTGCTTGTCTGAAAGCTTTCTGATAGCCACTTGTAAAGATTCTTACCTAAAATTTTGATGAGAGCTGCACTACAGTGTAAGATTCCTTGTTCCGGTAAAGATCAGCATGGCAGCTCATTGGCCTTACTAAACTAAAGGGCAGAGTCCTGTGTTAACACATAGCTGATTGGAACAGATCCCTTTTCAAAGACTGTTGATGCTCTCTCCCTTGCCTGATACTGGTTTCATATAGTCGTTACACTGAACAGATGGTGCCCTACCTGTTGACAGTGATGGGCAACATTCCCTCATCTCCCTTTCTTCTTGAAATTATCAAGAACACCTGAGATGCCCCCTCTGTGAAACATTTTTGCTATATTTCCAAGCTCCCTCCTAGTTCTGAAAACACGTTGCTCACATAATCCTTGTGTATGAGTCAACAGTGTACTTGTTCATCTTCCTTCGACAGATAGTGAGCCACTCAAAAAACATTCATTGTAGGTGGTGGTGGTGACTTTGGTATATAACTTTTGTATCCACGGAGCCATTTTAATGCATCTGGAACAGTAGCAGTTAACTGAGGGGCATGCTTGTTGAGTGGCATACAGGAAGTAGATTTCTGTAAGGAATATTTGCTCTATATGGAATTGTCCCTGTGAACTCTGTCCTCAGGAATGCCATGTGCTTCCCCTGTGGCTTGAAATAAAGTTGCACAGCTATGTAAATCAGCTATTCTGTAACTGAGCCTTGAGTGTCTGATGTGTGCCCAAGATTAGCAGTGGGAATAGTGTGATGACTTGGGCACAGGGCAGGCAAAATAAAAGCAAACCACATCCTTAGTACAACAACTTCTCCAAAGTTGTATTGTGTACAAATGGTCTCAGAGGCAAATTTGTGTTTTCTGGTATCTTGAGTTTTGTTGCCAAAATCTAGCAGAAGTATTAGAGTAGACCAGTGGTTGTAAGATACGGAGTTGAGGGCAAAGAAGACGACAAGGCTACTGCATTGAGTAACTTAGAGAAGAAATTTGGGGGATGAGCTTTTGACCTTGGGCAACTGTTTGAAGCTTATTTTTTTTTATAGCTTTGTCATTTTTTTGTTGTCATTGTTGTTTGTTTTTAATGTTTGTGTAAGCTAATGGGTCCAAGGTGTGGAACAAGTTGCAGTTCACAACATGATCGGAGACCATTAGGATAGCAGTTGCCTGTATTTCACACTTTATTTTCTAGAATTACTATAACATCAAATTTTAGAGTCTGTGCCAACTTAGGGTAGCTAAGGATACATAGGACATATCTGCCTTGGCTCTTGGGTTCTGTTTGTTCTTTTTTTTTTTTTTTTAATTATTACAAAAGTTTATTTTTACATCATTTTGCACATTTTTTTTTTCCATCTAGATTGTAATCCCCGCGGGTTTCCAATCAACAAATCACCCCGGTGCCACCCCCATAGTCCCATGCATTTCCCTCCCTTCCCCCTACCCCCATTTTTTATCCCATTCTGTTCTTTTTCTTTTTAAGTGAGTACTTTTTCATATTGTGTTGCCTTTAAATTATTTTCTTTAATTGCATTATAAAATCTTTTATCATATGCTGAGGTGTCGGGGTTTTCTCCTCCTAAATAGAAACAGGGATTAAACATGGGGTGTTCTTATCAGCAGTGACTCATCTGTTTTGGCCCAGTCGAAAAAAGGAATTCTGGTTCTTTATTTTGGGTTGATTTTTGCTTGGCTTACACTCTCTGTAATAGAGCTAGGAATTTACCTGAGTCTAGTGTGGACCTGTCTCACCACCCACCTGGAGTCTGTTCTGACCTGTGCTTTCCCTACTCAAGGGACTTAAGGCCTTGAGACAAGTAAGCTGTGTGAATTGCCCAGATTCAAATGGTATTAGAGAGAGAATACCTCGATAGAGGATTTTCTTTCAGCTAGAAAAAAATGGTGCTTCCCCCCCATTGTCACCAAGCACAGGACCTCAGAGAGATTTTGGCCCCTTAAAGCTGCCAGCATCAATTAGGATTAACTTGTCTGCAACTTTACAGCAGTGGGCTGTGGATGGGCCCTGAAGGAGGGTGCTGGGCCTGGACATTGCAACAGGAATGTTCACTGATCTCTTTGAGACTCTTGCTAGTCCTCAGCTGGTGTTTCTTACCACCTTGGGATCATGTTAAACATGTTTTATATTGGTCTTTCCCTCTCGTTCTTTGTAGTGGCACCTACCACTCTCGAGATGAGAGCACAGACAGCGGGCTGAGCATGAGCAGCTACAGTGTCCCTCGAACCCCAGATGACTTCTTGAACAGTGTTGACGAGATGGATACAGGTTGGTATTCAGTTGGATACTGTCATTTTTATCACAGATGTGAGCAATTGTGAGGAGGGTTATTCAGAAGAAAACCAACTGAAATTCTGTTCAGTTCAAATCAAGCCTGCTTCGTTTTTATATGGCAGCCTGGAATTTAGTCTTTTTCTAGTTGTTAAGTATTGTGGATATCTTAACTCTTTTTGAGCAAAACGGGTGATATGAATTCTTCAAGCCCTTAAAATATTAAGGCAATTGTTGAAGTTTAGGACCTTTTTATTGTATATTTGTATTCTTAACTTGGAAAGCGGTTTCTGTGTGGATTCAGTGTCTGCCTTCATCTTTTCTTTTGGGTTTGTAGTCCAACAGGAAAAGGGCTCAGGAAACTCAATGGGAAAGGCTATATGGTGTGGTGGGACTCTCCTATATAATTAATGGAATAGTTGCAGGGGCCTCAGAGGAGTTAAGACATGCCTCCTGCCTCACATGGGTAACCGTGGAATCATTTCTCAAACTATAGCCATTGATTGCTCTGGACTTTGCAACTATCGGGATTTGAGTTGGCAGGGAAATGACACTGTTCTCCAGCTAGCTAGTTCTTTAGTTGACACCTTCTGAGAGAATTTGTCACACCTTTTGAGCATGTGCTCAAAAGCTCACAGCTGTGATGGTTCCTAAAACCCAACCCCATCCCCTCCACTCACTTAAATGATCCTTAGAAGTCACTGCAACTCTGTTTTATCCTCACCTTCCCTTGCTCTTCTCTTCCATATTTCTTTTCAGTCCCCTAGAGTACCTAAGGGTATATGTACACTTTTTCTGAAAGTATGTTCCACTGAAACTCTAAAGTAATACCAGTGTTTCAAAATGTCACGTGCAAAAAAGATTCTGTGGCCAAATAAGTGTGGAACACTTGTTAGAGCATGTGAGTCTCCAGGAGTGGAAAACAGATTTATCCAGTTCTTTTACTTCATTTTAGTGACCTACTTAAGTGGCATACTTAAGTTTGTGCCATTTCTTTTTCTTTTTCATCTCATTATGGGAGTGCATATCTGCAAAAATCAAGTAGTGTAGCAATTTTTTTCACAACCCTCTTGAGTGCTCAGCACCTGGTAATACACAATCAGATTATTGATTGCTGTTCTGATCAAATATGAAGAAAAGTACGTTTGGTGTACCTCTTTGATATGTGGTTTGGCCTAAGACAAACTCTGGGTGTCTTTCTGGGAGGTCAGACTGCAGTGCTCTTCCCTCCCTGTGCACATGATATGACTCTGTTAATAACTTTTCCAAGAGGACCTGATTATCTGTCTCTGCTCCCACTAGGTGATACAATCAACCAAAGCACCCTACCCTCACAACAGAATCGCTTTCCAGACTACCTGGAGGCCCTTCCTGGGACAAATGTGGACCTTGGAACACTGGAAGGAGATGGAATGAACATAGAAGGAGAGGAATTGATGCCAAGTCTGCAGGAAGCTTTGAGTTCTGACATCCTTAATGACATGGAATCTGTTTTGGCTGCCACCAAGCTAGATAAAGAAAGCTTTCTTACATGGTTATAGAGCCCCTCAGGTAGACTGCATTCATAATCTGTGAAGGATCTAAGGAGATAAGACATATATACCTGAAGTTTCCAAATAAGCCAGTTGGCAATATTCTGGCTAATACAGAAAAAGATGAACAAACGTCCAGCAAGATTCTTTTCATCCACTATTTTGTTCTTCCTTGTCCATTGCTGCTGTTAATATATTGCTGACCTCTTACATAGTTGGCCCTAAGAATCAAAAAACCCTTTTTTGTTTCTTTGCTATTATAACTACTGTTTGTTTGGGGGCTGGGGGAAGTGAGCCTGTTTGGATGATGGATGCCATTCCTTTTGCCCAGTTAGGTGGTCACCGATCATTTTAACTACACACTCAGACTTGGAAGTCAAATGCTTCATGGCACAGCATTTAGTTTGTTCAAGCAATTGTTTCTTCAGCTGCCTTTGGCCAGTGGAAAAGCATGACTTACTGGTCTGACAAGCCAAAAATGTTGTATCTGATATTAAGTTCTGAATGCTGATTTGAAGGGATAACTGAAACCAAGGCTGAAGACTATTTTACTGTTTTTACCTACTAGTGCTATCATTAGTCACATAGTGACCTTGATTTTATTTTAGGAGCTTATAAGGCATGAGACAATTTCCATAGAAATATATTAATTATTGCCACATACTCTAGTATAGGTTTTGGTGGATTTTATTGTGGGTTTATTTTGGTTTGCTTTGTTTTCATTGGATTTGTTAGTTCCCACCACCCCCACCCAACCAACCTAGGCAAATTACCATAGTAGTAAATCTGTTTATAGTTGTAGCACAGGGTTTATTGTAGTTCCTTTGGTAAAAATCTACATTTTCTTGTTTTTTTTTTGGTTTTTTTTTACCATTTTATTTAAATCTTGATTATCTGCTCTCATGTATACCCACACACACACACTTAGAATGTTTATCATAGTGTGATAGCAGAATGTATCTCTCTTTTTTCTAGGTTTCTCTATCTAGTTTATTTTAAAGTGGTAGTTTTGAATGTATGCATTTAGAATACATGATTAGTGTTTATATTTAATAGTTGGAGCAGTTTATGTCTGTTGGGGCTGTCTTCAGGTTTGAGGTAGTTTAGGGATTAGTGCCTGGAGGAGTACTGTGTGCCCTCTGGGTGTACGGTAAATGTTACCTAATGAATTTGAATTAAATAAACAAGAAACGGCTTTATTTTCCCCTTTATTACTCCCTTGGACTAATGCTAAGTCTTAATGGGAAATCAATGAGTAGGTTCATAATGTACATGACAAAATAAACTTTTTATATAGTAGTTTTACCTTCCTTTAGCTTTGAAATTTTACCTTTACCTTATTTTTGGAAGTAAATTCTAGTACTTTTTAGCTCTCACTTGCAATGACTGCATTAAAGACTAGATTGACATAATACTTACAAAATTGTTCTTACTTGCTCCTAATTCTGTATGCTGAGAACTTACCCCTAAACAGTATATAGAATACTGTAAGGTCTGAATTAGCTGGTGAAGTGATCAGATTAATAGTTGTATATTAGTAGTTAAATTTAGAAAAGAAATAGAGATAATCATGATTATCCTTTTATTTTTACAGGAAGAAATATAACTAGAGTATGTGTCTACAGGAGTAATAAAGGTTTCCAAAGAGTATTTTTTTAAAGGAACAAAATGAGCATGAATCAACTCTTCGGTATAAGCTATGAAGTAATGGTTGGTTGCGATTGTGGGGGCACCAGTAGGCCACCTCTATGATTAAGGGTTTTGCAGTATTTC